ATACTCCTAAATGGCCATAGTTAATACCTTGTGCAAGTCGCAGCACCCCTGCACCTGCAAAGGAGGGCGCTTCTAGCACCAGCACGCCCACCCGATGAAACACCCGAGAAGCGTTGAACTTTATTTCAAATGGCAAGCTTTGATTACTATGAGCAAAGGGACTTCGCTCCTTGGTGAAAAGATCCTGACCCTTGCGCCTGCGGCCCCTCCTCGAATTCAAAGCCCGCGACAGAAGCAGGCTTGGCGTTGCAGTTGGCGAGAAGGATTACTTCGTGTATACCTGCCCCTTGGATTTGCATCTTTAAGGTTCATGCGTCTAGTTTCCCTTCATCAGCATCTTACGCTCCTGAGCCCTACACTCCTGAACCAGTCCTTGCCCTTGGCTTGTAGCCCTTGATCCCGTCGAAGTTGGGTTGACAGGGTGCTGCCGCCGCAATGTAGCATCCAAGCAGATATCTGTCAAGTTTTAGGGCTTTGCGTATCTTGAACCTACTCCCTAACACGCCGACGCCCACTCCTCCACCCCGAACGCCTCAAGAAGCCTTCGTGGCATTGGCTTCCTTAACTATCCGAGCTCTACAAAGCACAGGCAACGCCGATTCCTACTTTGAGCGAGCTGGATTCGACAAGCGCCGGATCTACACTCCAGCAGGCAGTTGGAGGCCAGGTCAGGAGGTTCTGTTCGGTGATAGTGTTGAGGGAGATTCTTTGGGGTTTGCGGCTGTTCCAAGCCCGTGATGACTGTCGGCGATGTAGGCCTCAAAGCTCCCGGCTCGTAAGCTGCATGCACTTCAACATGCAGTTGGGTGTAGGGCCCTTACAAATTCTACAACAAATGAGAGATGCTTCTTGTTGCAGGGCAAGTACGTGTGCGTTTGTGGGGGTACCGGATTTGAGGAGGGTAGAACTGGAAACGTCCAAGGCCTAAACCTATGCAGGTACTACCAGTGCGCCCGTCCCTGCTCCAACGCCGCCGTTTTCGAGGCCACTGAGACCCTGGGCGGCGTTTGGCAATCTGCGTGGATACTCTTGCACCATTTGCACACTTTAAAGCTTTCTGCCCTGTGCCTTTTGGGCCAAAGCAGCCCAGGAGCTGGCTGACGGAGAACGGGCATCTTGGTCTCAATTCGCCCCTAAGCCCTTCATGGCTCGCCAGTAGCACAAAGGTGCGTAGCAACTACGAGGCTGAAGATGTTTCAGTTCGGACATCTTTCCGCTCGCAGAATGCCACTTTGTCAGGGGCTCCAGTTTGCTCTGTCAGGGAGTGCCACAGTGTATGAGGCAGTGTACCCACGGAATTGGGAGAACGTGTCCCCTTTCACACAAGCAGAGGAATGTCCGAGGCGGCTGTCAGAAGTGCTAGGTCCAACCCAGTCTGCGACCAGCGAAGCGAGGGTTTTGTCGGGATTTGGGTGTACTTGGATAGTATGAAGCTGAGCATGCTGGATGTTTGGCTCACAGAGCGTGGTTGGGCTAAGACACTGCTCGACTTGGGCCAAGGTTTGGATGTTTCCATCAGAGCCAATGCTCAGTTGCTGCTGCTGCTGCTGCTTCTTCTTCACAATCTACAGTAAGGTTGGCATGGTTGTCGTTAGACCCGCTTCCTCATGCCTGGTCGGTACGACATGCATGATGCTGGTGATGTTGATACTCGGGCCATCCGCCGTTGAGTCTTCAAGTGTGTGAGTGATCCCGGAAGTCACTTTGTGGCCTCAGGACCCACCGTCAGTCCTGCTCAGGCTTGATGAAGGAGGGTCATGTGTTTAACTATCGATGCTTGGCCTTGGGCACTTGGCCCCACATGTGCGGGGAATGCAAACCCCTTTGCTGGGCATTCGTCCAACTCGTCTTCTTCATTTGGCGAAACAGGCCAGCGCTGTCCTTCCTATCCTGGTGGGTGTAAACTTGTGGATCGAGATAGGGTCGCTAGCAAATGTTTGTGTTTGCTCGCGTTGTTGTTGCGGGTTTTTGAAGGAGTTGCTCTGTTAGTTAGTTGCGCGTCAGAGTCAGAGTGCTGCCACAGTCAATTCGGTGGACTCTTTAAGGGTGAGGGCGAAGTCTATTTGACGGGTGCCCCCGGGTGCCCTGCGATGCCCACTGTGAATTCAAAATGCCGGTTAGTAAGTGTTGGCTTTATTGGGCACGTGCGTGTTCTCGTTTGCATGCTTCCTTGAATTCAAAGTGTTTAAGGGCTGCGACAGGCGTGCAATAGATCATGACGAAAACGCTTCTGACATCTGCCGAAGTCGCAAGTGCCTTCATGGTATGCTCTAAAGAAGCCCTTCGGAAAGCACCGTGGATCAAACCCGGAATGCCCTCAGGAACGGCCGGAAGGCGCCCTCCTGTCCGAACTGCGGTGGGGAGTGCATCCCCAACGTCGCCCAAGCAATGTTTAGGGATTTCCCGGGAGGTGTTCAGCGTTTGGCTGCTGAGGAGGTTGAGGAGGTTGAGGAGGTTGAGGAGGTTGAGGTGTTGCGGCGTCGTGTTTCTTGTGTTCGAAGAGAAGGGTTCTGCGTTTGCTGAATAGTATAGTTTGTGGTGTTTAAGGGGGCTTCGAGGCTTCAAGGCTCGAGCTGGAGTTTTTAACTTGAGTTGATGCGTACGCTTTCCGGCTTCACGGCGTTGGGCATTGGAGGCAGGTTTTACATCTCGAAAAGTTCCTGTCAGATTGAGTCAGACTGATCTTGCCCCAAGAGCCGCACCGATACGCGTGCAACTGTCCTTCAGGAGGCATCACCGAGTCAGTGCCCTAGGGATTCAATAACAAGTGACAATCCTCTATGCCCCCAGCTACAACCCCCTCCCACCCCCTGCCCCCTGCCCCCCGCCACCTACAATCGAACGAAAAAGCGAAATTCCGAGGTGAGAATAAGCGAGGGCTTCTGCCATGACCAGTATTCCCGGGGGCTGAAGGACCTTATTCAGTGGCGCCCCTGCTCAGTGTTGGCGAGTTTCGGATTTGTTTAAAGGCAGTTGGGCCCAGTGTCTTCATTTTGAAGGGTTATGGTCATGGTCTGTGATAGGCGTGGAGGGGGCTGTCCCGCCCTGGAGACTCAGAATGATGAAAGTTAGTTTGCGCAGGCAACGTTGGAAGTCTAGAGAGAGCACTCTGTGTAATGCCCCACAAATCCTGCCATCAAGCGAAACCGATCGACATCTTGAAAGTTGTTGGGAAGATGTTGCACTGCCTTGCGGAGAGACAGCTCAGCTTTACACACACATATCACATGTCCATCTATCTATCTATCTATCTTTATTTGCACGGTTTAAGTACAGTTCCATTTAGTTCGCATCCATCTATCTGCGGGGTGCTATTTGCGATGCCGGGCCTGTCCAAGAATCGGAGACGTGCTGCAAACGAGGCCATCGGCCGAGTTCCAAGCACTGGGCTTGCAGCCACAATTCCGGAACTGGGGCCGAGAAACTAGTCAAGACACCGCCTGCCACCTACAATCCTCGAAAGTTTGTAACTGCCAATCTGACACGGCCACACGGCCCAATGTCCTTCACAGGGGAACGGGTCACGATCGTCGATTTTTCCCAATCGCGCCCGGCAGCATTGCCGCATGCGGACCGCCCAATGCTCTGCAACTTGTGATTCCGGTTGCCACATGGTTCGGTTTCCAAGTCCGGGCCCAATCGTGTTTACAAGACGAGGGCATTGTCGAAGAAGGAGAGGAAGGCATTGCAAGGTGCAGGGCAGGTGTGCCTCTTCAATCACCAAGCATCCAATGCAGACCGGCATACAACAAATGGAAGACAAGCGCATGAAAGGAGGCAAAGGGTTTTGTTAGCTTTCTGAGGTTGGGATGCTTGAGGGTTCTAGGGTTCGGACAAAATTGTGTGTAAGGTTTGGGTGTTGAGGGCGGTAATGGTTGAGGGCGGTACTGGTTGAGGCTCTAATTGGTTGAGGGACTGAGGGGTTTAGGGTGCAGGTGTCGACCAGGTAAGGGTTTAGTTTCACTGAGGGGTTCAGCGGCTTAAGGTTCGTGGGTTTGGCGTTTCGCAGACCACGGGTTAAGGGTACAGGAGTCGAAAGGTTTAGATGTCGAGAGCTTCAAGGGAGATGGGGCGGAAAGAACATGCCGATCTCCAGAAGCACTTAGTTTGAGTGACACTCCATGGAAGAAGAACCGACAGCCCGCGTCTCACTGCACATAGACTTCCCCCCCAATTCTGAGTGTAAGCATTCATGACTTAAGCTTTTGTACCTGGCTTATTCAGCACAGCTCACGCCACCAAGGGTCCAAAGATGTGCTGAGTCCCAAGTCAAGCTGGTTGTTCTGGAGCTGGACTCATCGCCCCTCGGCCTCTTCGTTTTCTCGGGTGGTGGGGTGTTTTGCCAAGCCCGAAAGCTCTTCAACCGAAGCCATCAAACCTGCAATCTGTTGAAAATAGCGTCAAGCCTGTTTTCGAAGGATGGTTTCATGGCTGATAAGTATTCAGTATTCATGTACTTCCCAAAGGACCCAGAGCTCATTTGGAACCTTGCAAGGCTTGCAAAATCCTGAATGAAGCCTCAAATTCCAAACCATCCGCAGAGATTAGTTGAACCTGAGCTATACGGCAGAACATGCTCCCAATTCATGTTCACTCAGGTGTGTTTTGAAAAACCCGTAACCCGCAGCCCAGCAACAAAGTGCCACCTGCTTCCCCCCTGTTTCTGCGGTCTTCAATTCACCTCGGGGCGAGCTTGAGGGCCATACCACAGACCGCAGACTCCGACACACGCCCACACGCACACCCCACACCCACACGGCAACACCCACACATGCCCAGGCACACACGCGTACTCACGCATGCACACACACGCACACCAATGTTTCTTTCCTCAAGCTTTGCACGTACCAGGTTACCATCACAGTCAGCATGCCTCAGCATGCCTCAGCATTCTGAGTTTTTTTGCTACTAGGAGCCCCTTCCCAAAATAAAGGCATGTGAGATTTCGGCATGCAGTGTCACCAGCCAGGTTCAAGACGAACAGGCTAGCCTCCTTTCCCATGGAGTCGATTGCAGCAGACATCCCCGGCTCGTGCCGTTGCAAGAATGGTTGGCAGTTGCGAGGACACAGTCAAGAAGTAGCAGCTGTCGCCTGCTGTCGCCGCAGGGGCACCCTAAACAGGTAGGAGTAACGTCAAAAATAAGTTCGTGAGTGTAAAAGCATATTCTGGTGTCTCTAATACAGGGGGGTAGAGCCGGGCAGAGTGCTGCGGGGGGACCTCCTCGAGGTCGCTGATACGCTTCAGCCCAGAAAAGTATCCCTTCGTGCCGGCGGTGCTCCAGCGAGCGGTCGGCTTGCCAACGGTGTCTTGGCGTCAAGGGGCCTGTAATTGCCATTAAAACAGTTAAAGCCTTCGCTCTCTTTGTTGACGCTCTTCTTTCTAACGCTCTTTCTGAGGCGCTCTTGGTGCCTTTGGGCTTTTTTGAGAGCCGAGGACACCTTCACAGAGCTCCCTGAGCTTTTGGAGAAGATGCTCAGCGCGGACGGCATCTTGGGCTTCGGCTCCAGCGTTCTCAGCGCTGGGGAGACTGTGAGGGTGTCGGGATTTAGGGGCATTTTGGGGGTGAGAACCCTGTGTGGTCCCGGCCGCTTCCCTGTACAAATGCAAACAAAAAGCAGGGAGAGAAATGCGTTTTGCCAGCTTGACCTGGTGAGTTCTCCGGTACATGTAGTAGGCAACCCACAACCCTCGAACGAGTCCTTAAAACCCAGTCGAGCTTCCAAAAGCATCATGGGTTGTCATTCCAAATCCGAGCCCGAAGCCGTACAGGGTCCTAGCGGAACGGACCTCGTGAAGCCCTGCAAAAGTTATAGCCCTGAAAGGGGGCCTTAGAACGGCCTTTTCAAATGCGCACTCCTGAGTTTCCAATCCCAGGCCGCCAGCGAGCTGCTGCTGCAGAGAAGCGTCTCCAGCAAGGTACGTCCACGCGCCGTACGCAGAGGTCCGGGTCGTACTCGGTGGGATCTGCATGGAACTCTTTAGGCCTGGCATTCTGACATCTTAATCGTCCCCACTCGCCTTTTCCAACACAGAACACCAAAGCTTGTAGACTGACAAAGCTTCAGTGAGCCCCGTGACACCGCAATCTATGAGCTCCTAGCCCACGACCCCTACAGCATAGTCCAGCACTCGCCCGCGTCGGCACAAATCGCACCACTTCAAAGCCAAGAAGTTAAATCGCGAATCCAGACCCCTGAAAGCCTGCAACTTCCTCGCCCCGTGCTCGCCCACAACAAGTTTCGGCAGGCAAGAGAAATCGAAATCCGTCGAGCCCATACACTGGCGAAGACGCGGGTCCAAAGCCCTGGGGTATTGCGAGCGTTTCTGCGGGAGTTTGAGATGCCGACGTTTGCAGAGCTGTGTAGGATGTCCGATGAGCTTTTGGGAAGGGATACTGGAGAGGGGAGAGTGATGTTGGGAAATGCTTTGCGGATTGCCAAGAGGCTTTTGGAGAGACGGGGATGCTTGGCATGTTGTGGATGGATTAAGCTTGGGGCTCCAGGGAGGCAGCAAATCGGGGCGGGGGGGGTTGAGAGCCGGCTGGAGTCCCTCCCCGAAATCTGGTTCAGAATTAGAGTTCTTTTTTGCCTCTTGGTGCTCTGAGTCCACCAGATCTTGACTGTTCTGTAGACATCCGTACCGTAGACTCCCGCTGCACCCCAATCCAAAGATATCCGAGCCCTAAGGCTTGAAAGCCCCCAGGCCGCCCAAGCCTCATCCGAGGAATCTTGGAGCACTTGGGCGAGGGCCTCTTCAACTGTGCTTACGAGCGCTCCATGTAGCCGCGGCAGTTTCAGAGCTCCGCTACCTTCTTGACATAAACACCCTCAGAAGCGACAGCAACAACGTGACTCAGACCCAATCCCGTTGAAGGATGTCGAGAGCCCCTTCAAAGTTTGTGGGTACGCTCTCCTTAACTCCGGAGCATTAACCTCTGCTACGCACTGCGAATCCCAACTGCTACCCAGCGGCACCCTAGCACCAGTTCAGAGGGTGGGTGGGATAGAGCTCAGAGCTGCATTCATAAAGATACAAAACATGCAAAGTCGGATGTGCTCAGCCAACTGGTTACATCTCGGATGCTTCGAACGGAAACTAGAGAGTCACGTTTGTGGACAAACCATTTGCCCGCCTCGACAGCTGCGGCAAAGCTCAGCAAACTGCCGCTGTACAGGCAAACGGAGATAAGCTTCTGTGCTGGCCTTGCTCGCCCACATGCAAACATGCGGATCATAATTGCTGTTGATTGGCACAGCTTTGTCTCAAGTTTCACAAGTCACGTTTCACTTGCACGACGTTTTCATGATGGTTGAATCAGTTGAAAGTTTGGGGCCGTCCGCAGACTGCACAAAGTGTGTCCTGCTCCCAGAATCTTCCCCCACCTAAATCCCAAAGCAGCAGGCAGGCCGCCGTAGGCAGGACAAAAACTCAAGTTTTGGGGCGTTAGTTTAAACTTGTAGGGACGAGGCATGTTTGACCCCCTACAACCGCAGGACACTGCAGGGAGCTGGAATGGCACTCCAGGTTTACATATTGCACAGAGGACTCCCCAGCAGCAGATAAAGCCGCAGTCTTTGGTTGAACAGCCAAATTCAAGCTTGCTCATCTGTGTGAACATGTATATATGTATGCATATATATATACATACATAATACGCTTCAAACTAACTGCCAACAGTTAACACACACACACACACAAGCACACACAAAACTTTGGTGTTCCTTGAAAGCTCCACGGCATGAAGTCAGTGGGCACCACAGGCACCCCTAGACCCTGCTCTGAACCCTCTGAGCCCTGCACTGACCTACGAGAGAAGATGGCGTTGGGTTGAGGCTTTTGGGGCTTCGATTCGAAGAAGGCTCTCGATAATCACTCTATCTGAATCTGGTCCCCGAATTAAAATGGAGTCCCAAAGGACTTCAATCCATGAACACACAGGCGCCTCAAGGAGTTCGAATCTGGCAGTTGCAAATGGGACATGGCCTGGCTTCTAGGTGTCAGGCGTGCATCCCTATGTTATAAGGTGTGCGTGAAGGTGTGTGTGTGTGTGTTGATGTGTGTGTGTGTGTTGATGTGTGTGTGTGTGTTGATGTGTGTGTGTGTGTGTGTGTGTGTGGATGTGTGTGTGTGTGTGTGGATGTGTGTGTGTGTGTGTGTGTGTGTTGATGTGTGTGTGTGTGTGTGTGTGTGTGTGTGTGTGTGTGTGTGTGATGTGTGTGTGTGTGTGTGTGTGTGTGTGTGTGTGTGTGTGTGTGTGTGTGTGTGGTGGTGTGTTGTTGTTGTGTGTGTGTGTGTGTGTGTGTGTGTGTGTGTGTGTGTGTGTGTGTGTGTGTGTGTGTGTGTTGTGTGTGTGTGTGTGTTGATGTGTGTGTGGGTGTGTGTGGTGTGTGTGTGTGATGTGGTGTGTTGTGTGTGTGGTGTGTGTGCTGTGTGTTGATGTTGTGTGTGTGGGTGTGTGTGTGTGTGTGTGTGTGTGTGTGTGTTGAATGTGTGTTGATGTGTGTGTGTGTGTGTGTGTTGATGTGTGTGTGTGTGTGTTGATGTGTGTTGTGGTGTGTGATGTGTGAGTGTGGTGGTGTGTGTGTGATGTGGTGTTGTGTGTGTGTGGGTGGTGTGGTTGATGTGTGCGTGTGTGTGTGTGATGTTGTGTGTGTGTGTGTGTGTGTTGATTTTGTGTGTGTTTGTGTGTGTGGTGTGTGTGTTGATGTGTGTGTGTGTGTGTGTGTGTGTGTGTGTGTGTGTGTGTGTGTGATGGATTGTGTGTGTGTGTTGATGGTGTGTGTGTGTGTGTTGATGTGTTGTGTGTGTGGTGTTGTGTGTGTGTGTGTGTGTTGATTGTGGTGTGTGTGTGTGTGTGTTGTGTGTGTGTGTGTGTGTGTGTGTGTGTGATGTGTGTGTGTGGGTTGATGTGTGGTTGTGTGTGTGTGTTTGATGGTGTGTGTGTGTGTGTGTGTTGTGGGTGATGTGTGTGTGTTGTGTTGATGTGTTGATGTGTGTGTGTGTGTTGTGTTGTGTGTGTGTGTGGGTGTGTTGCTGTGGTGTGTGTATGGTGTGTTGTGTGGTTGGTGGGTGTGTGTGTTGTGTGTGTGTGTGTGTGTGTGTGTGTGTGTGTGGTGTTGATGTGTGTGTGTGTGTGTTGATGTGTGTGGTGTGTGTGTGTGTGTGTTGATGTGTGTGTGTGTGTGTGTTGATGTGTGTGTGTGTGTGTTGATGTGTGTGTTGATGTGTGTGTGTGTGTGTTGATGTGTGTGTGTGTGTTGATGTGTGTGTGTGTGTTGATGTGTGTGTTGATGTGTGTGTTGATGTGTGTGTGTGTGTGTGTTGATGTGTGTGTTGATGTGTGTGTGTCAAGACCAAGGCTAAGGGGCTGCAGGGTTCCAAACTTCGTGGAACACTCTTTGGGATTGCGCGAGCTTTTTAAGGATCTAAGAGGAGGGTCAAGCTGGTGCTTCTGGCCCGGGAAGTCCTCCCGTCAGCTGGCAAATGCCATGTCCGGCCTCAACGAAGGTGTGATAAGCCGGGCCTCAATCGTGGCGCAGTTTGGCAGGTTGGCAGGTCGAGGAGCTGCTTTTATGCTTTTGATGGGCTTAGGGCAAGGTATCGCAGGATTGACACTGGCAGCTACCACTGACACTTGGAATTCATGTTGAGCGGGGTGCCAGTGCTACACTGCGTCACTACGCCACCGGCACGTGTTTTCACCAGCGCACAGGTGTGGCTGGTTCCAGTGTTTTCAGGTGTCTGGGTTAAGTATTATTTTTGCGTTTAAGGCTATGTGTGCAGCCAGTGGGAACCAGCCACGCGCATGTTCATACGCGCGTGTGTTGATAAACAGTGCTTGCGGGGCTACGCGGCTGGATTCTCAATCACACCTCGTGGTGACGTGTCTTTCCCGTTTCAACGCTCAGATGTTTCAGCTGCCAGCAGCTAGCTAGAGTTGAGGGTTCGGTCTGGAGTCTCGATTGCGAAGCGCTGCCGGTTTACATGGCTTCTGCCTCCCTGAACCGAACTCTGCTGACTCTCAGTGACTCCCCGTACAAGCCGAACTCCTCACTCCAAGGTGCGCAGAGCCCCCGGCAAATCTGAGCTTCTCTGAGTCACCTCATTCCCCGAACCGTCTGAACCCACCAATCTTTTTTAGAACGCTGCATATTGGGTTTAGGCTACTCTGAGCCAAATCCATGCTCAGATCTAGCAGATACTAGGCATTTCAAGTCTAGCACGTAGCGTGCGTCAGCACAAGAGAAGGTACCTGATCCGAGTTGTGCCGGAACCCCCTCCTCGGCGCCGGCAACACCGTCCGAGACGGAGGCAGAATGCGGCGGTCCCCTCCCCCTCCAAGCCCTAAACCCTAAACTCCTAAACTCCGATCCTCAGGCAAAGTTCAATTTTTTTGACAAGAGACTTGAAGGTCCTTCGACGATTCGAGACACTATAGCTCCTAAGACCCTTAAAACTTAGAGACCTTCAACCCCGAATCCAAACATGCTGGCGTTGCCTTCGTGACGCCTTCTGCAGACAGCCGCAAGTTCTTGGGAGGAGATGCGACAGCTTGAGGTGCGCCAACAAGCCCAAGCCAAGCCCAATTCAAGGGAGCAGCTGTTGAGGGTTTGGGGGGGTGCTTCGAGGGGCATGGGGCTGTCTGGAGAAATTGGGATTGAGGTGCCCTTGCCGGGTTTCGCGGTTTCGACTTGAATGTTTCCCGGTTCATGCTAGCAAAGTCTTCCACACCTCTTCAAGTTTCAAAGCCAAAGCATACTGAGTTCCTGCCTGGCAGCTGTTGAGATCCAGATTTTTGAATTGACTCCAAGAGCTACGTCAGCTACGTGTATACCAGCAACTAGGTGCTTCTGGAAGTGCCACATTCTGGAAGGCCCACTGTTCTCTCGTGAAACACTTCGCAGGCCCAAGTCCTTGAGAAGTAAAATCCTCAACTCCCCCCAAGCCGGGAGGACGCTCAAAACGACAGCCCCCAGGCCCAGCCCCAGTCAGACCCCGAACAAGACTCCGACACGCTCAAAAACCCGTGTTCAGCGCTTCTTACGTTCAGGTACATGTGCGGAGCATCAAGAGCAGGGAGGAACGACAACTCTTCCTTTCAAAAATTCCGCAGGCGGAGGGGGCGGGTGCAGGTTCTTAGGTTCCAAGGCCAAGGGCCGCAAGCGACTTTCAGGTGCAAAGGTGCCTGACACTGCTTTACTTCGGTTTTTAGAGAGACATGTAATGTATCAAACTGCCAGAGACAGTGAATCCGAAGTCCCAATTCTTTCATTTGCACTCACTCCCCAAAGTCAACGAACACCTACATATACTGGACACGACACTCTGGAAGCCGATGAGCCTACAGACCCATATCAGACTCCACATCATCCTCCACCTCTCGAGCATGGGGCCTCTGGGGTTTAGGGCTCAGAGGCCGCACTCTCAGAAGAGGCTCCATATGAGTTTTAAGCGTACTCGTAGTGTCGCGCGCGCCCACGAACTTTCTATTCGATAAGCTGCGCCCTATCCTTCTGTAGAGGCACTGCGTAGAAAGCAAGGAGAGGGCTGTCTTTTCTCAGAATGGGCGCGGAGGGGGCCCTAGGGAGTCTCGGGAGCTGCAGTGATGTTTCATTGCTTACATGGGCCCCCCAAAATTTTGTACAGGTGAAATCCAGAGGTTCTTCCGTATATGGATTCTCGGTTTTTGTTCCGTGGATTGTCGGGATGAACCATCAGTGGTGCAGGGCATGGGCTGAATCTAGACGAAGCTCCCTTGATTGCGAACGTTGTCGACTTAAGTCTCGTATGAGGAGGGTCCAATACGTAGGCTTACGGTTTCAGTTTTGGGCTGTGGTTTCTGTCAGGCAGTTTGATGATGACAACAGCGTGCTTCTGTCAGGCGACGCGGGCAACTCTTGTCCAGCCTCTTGACTGGATGTGAACCCCGAACCCTGAACCTATACATACGATATTCGAAACAATTCGTGATGCCGAGTTTGGCATTGTGGGCTGTCCAATTTGTACAATCGGGATGAAGGCCTGCTAACAGCCAGCCCTATTGTCTGCCGACATGGAATCAGACAGGTCCAATCCTCAAGCCATGCACCTGACCTTGAGCCTGAAACCTCCAAAAAGCCAGGAATCTCAGGACACACATATTTGGGACTTTCTTCAGCCGCACACCGAACCTTTGAACCCTGACATCCAACACACCCCAGATTCACTCCCAAACGGGGCCGCGTAAACCTCGCATCCGTGGACCCGTATTGTAGCTCCACTTTCTTGGCAAGCCATCCCTTGACCCTTAAAAGCCTTATACCTTGAAGCACAAGCACATGCAGAACTGGAGCCGGCTATCCCCGTGAAACGCAAGGTACGTGAAGGCCAAGCGGGGAGCTTCGAGAACAGCACCTCGTGGCTGATGAGCGCCAGCGATTGGGAAAGATAGTTGGCTTGAGCCACTTTGTAAATTCAACTTTCGGAGGGTCTCGAGCCTAAACCCAAACTCTTCTACGCGCTTTGCAACATATGCCCACGGAAGATGACAGAGGCCCTCCCCGCAGGTACGACACTGTTGGCACCTGCTTCTGACTGTCATCTATCGTGATCGTTCTCTCTGTCTCGGGTTCGTTACTTCACACCCACAAACCCAGACGCCCGAACTCTGAACCTAATGCCCACAGAACAGCCATCGACTCTGAAAGCTAGTCCCCGGAGGCTTCTGAGTTTAAAATCCCTGCTGGCGTATCCTTCACAGCCTCTGGCCGGAGCCCCTCGAAAACTCAAACTCAGCATTGGGGATTTCGAAAAAGATCTAAGAAAGCTTTTCAGACCCTGAAGCTTCTCGCACTTTCAGCTTGGCTCGAGCTGGGCCCTCCACACGGGGTAGCGCAGACTGTCCAGCAGGCGGCGTGCCAAGGCCTGTGCTCACGTGTCTGTCAAAGGCTCTTGTGGAAGTCTTGGTTCGATAGAGTGGGTCAGAGTTCGTCTGCAAAGATGCCGAGTAGCTGCTGTGGGAGTGCTGGTGCTGCAGGAGTATCGATGTATGGAGTGCTTGGCTGTCATTTTTTGTTGATGTATGGTTCCTGGTGCAGCGCCGTTTCTTCCTTGAGGTGCAAGCAGAGTGCAAGGAAGTCTACGCAATTCAGCAACCCTTCTAGAATTACTGTCAACACACACACACACACACACCCATACACACACACACACACACATCGGGTGTTGGTATCCATGTTGCTTGGACAGCTGCTTGGGCTCACCGGCAAGCCTTGAAGGCGAAATTGCCACATGAAACTGAGAACCACTGCACCAATTGCTATCTACATCCACATCATCAGCCCACATCCCGAGACCTCGAATTCACGCCGAGCACACCCCGGCCTCGACCCTGAAGACGAAGCCCAGCAATAGGGCAATGCTGTTTAACGATCTCGATGTCGTAGCGCTTGTCGTAGCCCTCACTCCTTACAACGTCCCCTAGCTTCACAGTCGAGACTCCACACAAATCCGAACCCAAACCCCAAAAATGCATAAAAATGCATAAACATGCCCCAACAAATCTCAACGCCTAACGCATCTTCATCGTCATCGTCACGGCCATGAAGCGGCCGGCAGACACTCAACCGTCCAGCCCAGAGCCTCCTGACCTTTCGTGAAGGGGCACTAGGTAGGATGTAGTTTTAAGTGGGTTGTGGCTTAGGCAAGACTATGTCTTGTGTTCTTTTTCGAGGTCACAAAGCCAAACACCGAAAACATTACGGTGTAGGGCTCAGGCTTGAGGCTTAGGATTGGAGATCGTATTCTAGCTACCTAGCTTCTCGAGGCCTCCTTTGGTGCTTGCCCTGTTGTGTTCTCGGCTGCGAAGGACTCAAGTGTCCAGGAGCTTCAAGACAGCCTGGAACGTAGGAGTCTAAGATCTGTCAAGTGGCTGAAAGACATACCAGTTCGCTGCTTCAACTTCAATCAAGAGACTGGCAAACCTTGGATTTCATCGACGCCTCCCCAAAGACCGCAGTTGTGTGGAAGCTTTTCGAATGTACAAGATGTTGAGTGCTGAGTGCAGCACTGGTGTTGCGCTAAGCTTTAAACGTTGGAACCCTAGACCTGAAGCCTGCACTCTCACGCAAGTGCAAGTTGCAACTAAAGGAAGGGTTCATGGCTTGCCAGTGTAAGGAAGCGGGGCGAGAAGAGCATTCACATCTACATGTGCCCGGCCCCCAGTTTCGGGAATGACGAGCACTTTGTGTGGAGGCCCAGCTCCGAACTCTTCAAGAGGCTTTGAAGCTCAGAAGAGAACCGCCTTCGTCTCGAAGTAGGGGTCCTGTGTTGGGAAGCGCATGGGGCGGGGGGGAGAGACGCCCCCTCCGTCAAATCAGCTCACAGCCATGCCAATGCCAAGACCTGGGGCTGCTCTTGGGGGGTTTAGGCGAGAACGGGCTTAAGAGAGGCTTAAGAGGCTTGAGAGCCTGGTGGGATGGCGCCCCCAGGCCGGCATGGCACCACCACGTGGAACTTGGCCAAGCGCTGGCAGGGGGAGCAGGAAGCTTCGAGAGCGGCTTCTGGAAATCCCATTTGTTACTCCCCAAAGCTGTGAAGCTCCTTGGGGCTTGGGGCCCCCTAAGCGCGGCTCTTTTTGTGGAAGGCCTTTAGTCTATTAAAGAAATCCACAAGAATGTGAAAGCGCTTGACAAGCATCTTTCCGAAACAATGGAGGACACCGAGCTGGCGCCGGAAGGCATCGCACAAGCGGAGGCACGTGGCTGCTGGGAGGGTTCGAAGTGGGCTTTGGAGTTCTCGGGAGCTGGCTCTGGGGGGGTCATATTTTTTGGGGCGGCCTTAGGGTCTGATGGCAACAGGTGTTCGGATCTCAATGATGATTTGCGCCTTTCAACCTTGGTGCCGGCAGCTTGCCCCCACCGCTTGTTGTGGGGCTACAAGCACCAGGGCAAAGGTCAGGCCATGTTGTGTTCGTGATGCCCTGTACATGAAATTTTGACGGAATTTAGGGCGCTCAATTCTGAATTTCTGAATTACCACTAGAAGTGGCTTCTGAGAGCAACACCCCTTAGCCGATTGGTCGAGGCAGTTTAGCTTGAGGTTCCTTTGGCAGCCACTCAATAAAAGCCCATGTGCGAGGCCACTGGCAAGACGCTAGCCGCGAGGCACGCGCAACACCCGATTCAAGCCCTTTGGCACCCACGGTTTCCTCACAAACCTTGGGCCCATTTTGAAGCCACACAAGTCAGGTCCTGCTTAGAGCAGCTTGGGTTGTGGGGGCTCCCCGCGCCCCAAACTTCCCATGGGCTTCCTTTTCGCCTCGAGACTTCACATTGTTTCGGGGTCACATTGAGGCTTCAGGGTTCAGGGGCGCGATCTTGCAAGATCTGTAGAGATCCTGAAGTGCGGCCCCCCCAAGGCCAAACCCCTATCATTCTCAGAGAGTCAGATAGGCCGAAACCAGAAGGAATCACCGGTGCATAGGAAGTGTAGAATTTTGCTGGAGCTTGGTCCATTGTCTCTGGAAATCTTAAACCCTAAATCTTTGATCAGGATCTCCTCCTGCAGTGGAATCTACACCTCGGACCTCAAGCGAGCAACTCTTCTCCCAATCCGCTGGAGTGGGACCGTTTCAAGGGAAGCTGTGGAAGGATACGGAAGGGCTGTGTTGTGCGCTTGTCCCGCCTCAGGGCTCAGGCCTTCCTGTCTTTGTAGGGAAGGCCAGGTCTATTTTCTTTTGTCAGAGAGAATGTACGTAGGTAACAGAGTATAGTCAGTAGAGGTTCAGGATTGTTGCTAGGTTTTAGAGTACGTGGTGCTTCCCTTGGGTTTAAGGACAGGGGCAGCTTGAGAGGACGATAGGTGGCCCTTGACATCAACAGCGCAGGAGGCTTTCTCTCTGAACATGTATGGCTTTCACTCTTAGATGGCACATTGCAGACAGGTTGAAACGGACTTTTCAGTTAAGACATCTATAGAGATTTCCTACGAAAGAGTTGGCCAGACTTGAGGGTTCCTCTTGGAAAGCTGGGAACTGCAATCTCAGGCAAAGGCGACTGCGGAAATCTACGCCAAGGAGCCTGTCTTGTCCTGGGTCGTTGCATCGCACTTTCGGACTTTAGGCCATTTCCAGGAAACCACCTTTACGGAGTAAGACGTCTAAGAGCTAATTTCACTGTTATCCCTCAACTTTTCTAAGAAGGCAAACTTTGGGCGCTTACCATACTGTCTTATAAAGCAGCACCAAGGCAACCAAGCAGCCAGAGTTCCCTCTCGTCCAAACGACGTTCATGTTCAGGAGCTTGCGTGCGACGTCACTGTCGAACCGAGATTGCGACGCCTGGCTTGAGATTCATCCGGGAGCTCCTTGTTAAACAGCGGAAGAAGGCCGGCTGCAATATAGATGCAACGGAAGTATACACAGAAGTAACGAAGTACGGAGACCCAGTTGCCAGCTGCCCATCTCCAACGGCTTTGTCGCTCGGAGCCCTCAAAAATGTTGAAGCTTTCGGCATCAGTTCAGGGTCCTCCCACAAGCCCCACAAAAAAAAAAAAAAAAAAACATCAGTACACATCAACACATCCGGAACTGACATGTTGGAACGACTTTGCGAAAGAGGAGAGCCAAGTCTGGGGAAGTTCGAGGGCATGGTAAAGAGCGACATCTACAGCCAGTATGCTGATCTGCTGCTTGGCCTTTTGGCCTTGGAGGAGCAAGTGTAGTTCGGGGCTCCGGGTTGAGGAATGAGTCGAAGACTTCGGGATAAGTGGCAATTTGTTCGTGCAACCTTTTGGGTGCTTGACCGCCACTGGGCAGTGCTTGCTGCTTCTCAGCAGGCACGCATACTTAATCGTCACCATTTGTTCCAAAAGGTTTTCCAGGCAGCTATGTATCGCAATGCAACAGCCCCGAATGTCTCACCACTGCAACAGCGTCAGCATACTTCATTCAGCTCGGTCGTTGCAAGCACCTGCTTGCTGCCATTCTAGGACCTTTGGCTGTGAACTGGCAACTTGAAGGCAGGTGCGCAAAGCGCCATGGGATAAGCAGACAGAGGAGAAGCACATCTCGAAACACACGGGAGTTCCCCGCGAAATGAACATTGCCGTTCTAACGATCCCTGCTGTGGCTGAGTGCCTAGCCGCCTAGCCAAGGCTCGATGCGAAAGAGCCGGACATGAACACCTGCTGTTTAACCCTTATCACAGGTAGGAGCAGCGATTAAACGGCCGGTCCGACACGGCCCATTCAGAACTCAAGCTTTTGAGCATGCCGGCAGCAGCTATTGTTCCACAATAAACAACGCCCTTCTACCAAAGACCGACCAGATCGTGCACTGGCATCATGGGCGGCAAAGACCCAGTACAGATTCTGCACGACAAGACCAACTTCGCAGATCTTCGCAGGCGATTGCAACACAAGGCGACCCCCAAGTCTGAAAGACAGGGGGCAAGAAAATGATGCCAGTGCGGCTAGAATAGAAGTCGTGGTAAATGGACCCTGCTTGCGACTTAATTATA